TAACTTTTGAAAATGTTCCGGAAGGTCTGACAGTTTTATATATATCTTAAATTCAAGCTAATGTAATATACTTTAATTTGAAAAAAAAAAATTTGACCTCTGGACTTATCTTCACGGCGAAAATGGCTACCGAATGCTTTTTTCGTGTGAAAATTCTCGATTTTATTATTTATATTATATTTAACTTTATAATGCTATAACTTATTGAAAAGTTTATGGATCCACACAATTTTTTTATGACAAATAATATTTTTTAATAAACCCTTTTTCATTCGACATACTTTATCTTAATCAGGATATTAATAAGGAACCAGCAGATCAAGTAGCTTTTGGAATAAAACACCAATTTTTTTAAAATTAAACACTATCTAAAGATTTGCATCGAAGCGTTTATTTTTGATAGTGATTTTAATCACTGTCAGATATCATTTACTTGATCCAACTATGCCACGTCACCACTGTGCCGCGACCCCCCTGTGCTGGGTTTTTAATTTTGAAATTGCCCTTATTTTCTTAAATTTTGATATAAAAATAAAACTTTTTTTTTATTTCTTAGTTTTCGAAAAAATTTATGTTAAAAAGAAAAAAAGAAATCCATTGATAAATTATTAACTAAAATTATTTTAGTATTATTTGACATGGCCCGTAATAGTGCACTATTCATTCAATTTTGAATTAGCACGTTATCCGGTCGTGATTATCAGCTGTCCAGCGTCGCACTTGTTAGTGTTGATGATAACACTAGTTTGACTTGTCCGTCGGTCGGTAGATAAGACCGCGAGACACGTCGGCGACTATGTAAACTAGTTCACCTGTGACTTACATACGCCTCACGTGCGGTCGATATATCAACGTTACAATATTGTTACCTGTGCAGGATTTTAATTTTATTGGTTATATTGAAAAAATAAAATAAAATAAGCTGACTCTTCAGTTAAATTTTAATCACGAATTGTTTTATTATCATTAATATTAAATATCATGTCATTTTAAAATCATGAATAGTAATGATTTTAATAAACATGCTGACTAAATAGAATACTTTTTTGTGCATTGTAAAAATTAACTTAATATGTACTTCCGCAAAAATTTTATTATGTTGTATTTTTTAAAAGATAATATGGCATTTTTAGCAAATTTTCACGAGAACAAAGAGAAATTTCAAATTCAATGGTCTACTATGCAAAATTAAATTTTTAAAGTGCAAAAAAGTGAATTTTCCTCATTTTTTTGCAATATTTTGACAAAAATAAGAGAACTTCTTCTTTTATACAAATCATAAAAAATGTTAAAACCCCATCTTATGACATTTCAGTATTTGGATATGATTAAAGAACTACTTTTGTTTTATTCTGTTATTTAAAAATAATTAAGAACATTAATTTTATAAATTAGATCTCTTATAGTTAAAAATTTTCAGCATATTAGCAATATTAGGGTTAAGTAAGAACTTTTCCAATATCTTGTGATAGTTGTATCAGGACTATGATGTATGTTGCTAATGACATTACTATCTGCAAAACAATTATAAATGAAATTGAAATATTTAAAAGTTATTAAAATTGTGTTTTGTAAGAATGTATTCTTTTATCGTATCAGTGAACAATAAATATTCATTTTAAACTTACTGAAGACAAGAGGGTTTTATTTATCACAAAAAGTCCAGATGCCGTAATTTCAGTGTTCGAATTTTTTACTTGTGACAGAAATATTTCTACCTACATTAAATATAAACAAAGAAAAAAATTATTACAAATTAAAACACTGACATCGGCAGTAATTTTACTATAACATTTTAAAAAACAAAAAAAAATACATATGCAAATCAGAAATTTATTAACGGACAACATGTAACTCAGATAAAAATATTGACAAGTAACAGTTGTATTAGAGCAAAAAATTCTTAAATTTTTAATTATGTGTAAAAATAATCATCATCGTAAAACATATTATAATAAACTTAATGGTCAGTTTCATGTTGAAACTAATAGATCACCAGGAGTAGGACAAAGTACACTTTGATTCTCAAAAATATAAAAAAAATATAAATATCAAAAAATTTTTAATTCAGTCTCTTCAAAAAAACCATTCTATACATATGCTTTTTACGTTTGTATTATATCATCATTGATCAAACGTTTAGACAAATATTAGAAAGCTACACAGGTGTGGTAATCCATGAAAAATAATTAATGTTTAACTTGTATAAGTAATCTAATTATTGGTTAGTTTTATATATTTTGTTATAATCAAGGAAACTGTAACCGATCATTTTACAAACCGAAACACAAAACTGAAACTCAAACCACCAACAAATTGAACCGTTTCATTTTCTGATAAATAATAGACTGTCATGAGAAAAAAAATCTTTGTCATTAATTTGGAGCTAGGTTTGTTAATAATTTCCTTATATTATTATTATTAGGTATTAGTTAATAATAATACTAATTAATTTTCGGAATTAAGACAAAATTTCAAAGTTGTATGAGCTTAATTAAATGACTTAAAATTAGATTCAGCGAATCGAAATAGGAAAGTTTGGTCAAAAGTACAGACAATTATTTCATGTGCTTATATCTTATTAGTAATAAAATAAAGGTAGTAATAGAAATCGTAATTTTTATGAGTTATTACAATTACTATCACTGTCAATAAACAATCTTTTTAATTTATACCTGTTCATTACAAAAATGAGGCAATTTCCATATAGGTATGTTTCTTAAATCTGATATTATTGATTTACTCTGAAAATATGGTAAAAAAATTGAATTAGTAGTAGAAAAAATAATATTATATTATAGATATGTATCCCCATATCCATTAAGTTTAAAATAAAATAGCTAGTGGGGATGCGCATAGTTTAAACAAATATAGATGATATCTGACAGTGAATTTAATCATTATCATAAGTTATTCTTCTTATAACAACATGCACTACGGTACATCTCTTTGTATTTTTCTAGTAATTTCATCCATCATTATAAGAAATAAGTAAGGATTTATATCAGAACCTTGGTGCTCTCCTAATCTTACCCTAAAATCCTGTGTTACTCCGCTCACATTTTTAACCTTGGTACAAGAGCCATCGTACATATCCTTTATTATATTAATGTACCTTTTTAGGACTCTTTTTCACGTTAATAACCATTTTAAACCCTCTCTTGGTACTCTATCACACATTTTCTCCAAATCTATATCTAAAAAGATCCTTCAACCACCTTATGCCAACAATGCCTAATATTTTTCATACCTCTATTACCACTTCATCTGATCCTAATTCTTTATTCTTTTTCATTGATTCCACAGCCTCCCATACCTCTTTCTTTCTAATTAAATCTACGTGTACCTCGTTCAACGAGATATCCTCTAATGTGTCTTTTGGATACTCCTTATTCAATAATTTTTCATAATACTCTTTCCATCTTTTTTTCACATCATCATCACTCGATAGCATCCTCTTATTAACAATTTTTATACACCTATCATAGTCCAAAAGATCAAAAAAGTTTTCGACCTTTTTTCTCATACTTTTGTAAGTCTATAGTTTTTTTTCACTTTCTTTTGTTCTAAACCTATCGTATAACTCGTCATACCTTTAAAACTTTGCCTTACTTACTGCACACTTGATGTCTTTGCATAAGCGTAACTACATTCAATCTTCTCTTTTATTGATCATCTGTCATACTTTGAACTGCTTTTTTTTACTCTGTATGATTTTTTGAACGTCCTCATCTCACCATCAAGTTTCCTTTTTTCCTGGCATTCTATTCCTTCTCTCAATAACTATCTCCATTTATGTCTCCCTCGATATTCCACACAGTCCTCTCTTTTATCGTCTATACAAACTCTTTTTCATATTATCCTTTCAATTTCCACTACCAGATCCTGGATTTTTCTTCGTGTTCCTTCTGTTTTTCTATATTCTCTTTCCATTACACGATAACTCCATTACCATCAGTCTATGTTGTGTAGTTACACTCTTGCCTAGTATAACTTTACAATTTTTTATTCGCTTTACGCTCTCTCTCTTTCACATAAAATAATCAATCTGTGATCTATTACTCCCACTCTTATAATTTATGTATTTTTCTTCCCTCTTTCTAAAATAAGTGTTAACCACAACAATATCATACAATACTGCGAAATCTAAGATACTTTCTCCAGCCTCATTCTTCCCACTATAACCATACATGGGGTAAGTACACTTTCATATCCTTTCCATTCATTATCTACATGTCCATTCATATCTCTACCTATCACCGCGTCCTCATTGCCAGGTACTCCTTGCTTCACTTAATCTATCTCTCTCCAAAACACTTCCTTGTCTATTTCATCATATCCCACTTATGACGCATAGACACTTATTACATTCAGCACTTTTTCCTCGAAAATTAATTTTATTCATGCAAATCTGTATATAGTATTTAATTTTAAGAAGGAATCGTTGAAATTTTTCAATTGCAATGTCAACTCCTATTTACTTAATTATGTCACAAATATAAGTTTTATGATTTATACGTATAGTAAATAAATAAATACTTATTATAGTAATTAAATTTAGTATGAAATTGATATTTAATAATTTAATATTGTAATTTTTATGGTGAAAATATAAAAAGTTATAAGTTGTTGCATACAGAGTGATTCTTATAATATAAGACACTCAATTTTTCTTAAAATAATAATTTTCTTTAAAAAATCCTTTTTATTATTTTTTAGTTTTATTTATTTCTTGATTTAATAATTAGTAAGTTCGTTATAATTTTTCTTTATATCTTATAAGAGTGTTAATTTTATTTTTTTTAATGGCAACATACATATTTAATGTAGGTCGATAAAAACATTTTTAATTGTACTTGTACATTTTTATCAAGGCTTAAAACCGGTTATCAGTTATAACCGAAANATAAAAATGTACAAGTACAATAAAAATTTTTTATTGTACATAAATTATTAACATTCTTAAATATAGAATGGAGGAACAACTCTACAAAGTAAAACATAATGTACATAAAATAACATATTTAACAACTCACTACCACTCTATACTTTAAAATAGTTATAAATTTTCAAAAATACTTGTCAAATATTGTTATCTTTCAGTCATTTATTAAACTATATTGTTTTAACTTCGATGCGAAGCTGAGAAGGTATTAATTTTACCATGTGTTTATTTTTTTTTTAGCTTCGATGCAAAGCTGAGAAGGTATTAATTATACCATGATGTGTTTTTTTTTTTTTTATGACTGTTTCAACTTTTTCTCAGCTCTCACTGGACCGAATTCTTTCAACAATACGTCAAAAGATCACAAACTGTATCTAGTTAAAGACTTTACCCTTAAAAATTGAAAAATTTTCCCTCGTTCTCCAAAAATGGGAAAAATCTCCAAAAAAATTACAAATTTACAAATCAGTAAATTTTGTCATTTTTTTCTTAAAACTTTCATAATTTTTTCAAAAATGAACAAATGAACATAATTTTTTTTTATACTAAAACCTTAGATATTTTTCTTTCATTTGATATAATTTTTTTGAAAATCTAACACTTAACCTGGTCACTGGGGGGGATTTAAAATAGCAACTTTTTTACAAAAAATAACTTTTTCAACTTAACTTTTGAAAGTGTTCCGAAAATACTGCGTCCTTTAAACATATATCAAATTAAAGTTTCATTTTATTACTATAAAATAAAAAAAGAAATTTGTCCCGACGACCTATCTTTTATGTGCAAATAGCTACCATATTCAAAAATACGCTATTTTTATAATGAAATCCTGGGTTTTTTATTTTATTTTATTTTAAAATATCTTATAAGGCCTAAACACTGACTTTCATGAATATTATATAATTTAATTGACATCGAAATATTTTTGGAAGTTTATCAATGATAAGAAAAAAAGCAAAGATCTCCCTATTACGATTTCTTTTAATAATGTCATTGCAGATAACCCCGATAATATTGCAAATATCTTTAAGGACTTCTTCGACTCAGTATACACTCCCACTCAAGCATCTTCTTCATATACTTTACATAGCTTATCTCCTAATAATGAAATTATCGATTTCTCCTCTTGTTTACTTTCTATCTCAGAAATTTTCAACGCCTTAAATAACTTATCATTTAAAACAAAAATAGGTCCAGATAAAATACCCGAAATAATTTACCGTAATTGTTCTTATACCTTAACCCGTCCAATTCATTTTTTATTCAACTTATCATTATCTACAGGTGTTTTTCCAAATCTTTGGAAAACTAGTTTTATTTATCCGATTTTCAAATCCGGAAACCGATCTCTCGTAAATAACTACCGTCCTATATCCTGTTTAAGCGTATTACCAAAATTATTGAAAAAACTTATTGAACCAAAAATGTCTAATATTTTTAAAACTATCTTATCAGATAATCAACATGGCTTCCGTAAGACAAAGTCAACTTGATGACTTTCTATACTGACTTACTGCATTCCGTTAGTAATGGTGTTCAAGTTGATGCAATCTATACAGATATTAAAAGGGCGTTTGATACAATTAACATTAATATATTGATAGATAAACTTATTATTATTGGTGTTAGGGATCCAATCCTTTCATGGTTTAAATCTTACTTATCTGATCGAATCCAAAAAGTAAAAATAGGTAATTCGATTTCTCCAAACATAAATGTAACCTCTGGAGTGCCGCAAGGTGGTCATCTCTCACCTTTATTATTTATAATTTTTATCAACGATATAAACACTGTATNTTATCAATAGTTAAATTTATTGAATCATTTTTTATTTTATATATACATAGAAAACATTGAAGATCTAATTGTAGAAAATGAACCCAGTAATTTTGATGATGAAGTTGTCAAAGCAATTGAACCTGAAGAAACAACTTTATTAGTTAGGTGTGCAGCTCACACATTAAACCTTTGCATTGAAGATGGGCTTAAAATTCCAGTTATTCAACAAGTTTTAAGTCGTGCAAGACATGTAATTACAAAACTATTAATATCTTATAGTATTTTATTTTAAAATATTTTTATTTCAAAGTACTTTATCAGAAGATAATAAAATTAAAGCAAAATCTCATTTAATAAAAACTTGGAATACTATGAAAAACCTGACTTCACAAGATTCAGAAATGAATGAAAACAATATATCTGACATAGAAACAAACAATTTTGAAAATGTTGATGATCCACTTGAACAGTTTTTAAAATCACAAAGTGGAACTACAACTAATTTAATACCTCTACCTGGAAGCGACAAATGTTCTATTAGTTTTAATTGAAGAATTTGATAATAGTTGTAGATTACATCATAAAACTGATATTAAACAATTTTGGTTAAATGCAAAGAAGCTAGAATTATTTAAGTTAGCGCAAGTTGCAATGGCTGTTCCATGCACACAGGTAATACTTATTAAACTTATTATACTCATTAAAATTATTGGTCGAGGACAAGAAATTATTCATTAAGAAGGTAGAGCTGAAATATTTATACTTGAATTCTTATTTATGTATTTATTTTAGTTTCATTAGTAATCGGTAAAGACAATAATCATTTTATTTGAAAGTCATTGTGTTATATGTTTCACTATTTAAAATATTATAAATATAACATGGGTAATACTTGAGTGTTATTTTATTTTTACAGGTTACAGTAGAAAGAAATTTTTCTGGTTTGAAGTATGTGTGTAATGATTTAAGGACATCGATTTCATCATCATTGCTTGATGAAATTATGATTATTAGAGGCAACCAAAAAATATTTCAGAAAGCTTGTAAATAAAAAATC